GAGCAATTCTAGTTTGATGTTCCAAAATTTGCTCATTCAGTAGCTAGATCTGGTCTATTTATACCTAATTGTGTAAAGCTATGTTGTGAATTTTGATTATGAAAGGTTGATTTGGGTGTTTTGTGGGGGTTTTAGGGTTTCAGGTTTGTCATTCGTTGGGAGGAGGGACTGGATCGGGAATGGGGACGCTGTTGATATCGAAGATAAGGGAGGAGTATCCAGACCGGATGATGCTGACGTTCTCGGTGTTTCCTTCCCCAAGGTTTCCGATACGGTGGTGGAACCGTACAATGCGACGCTCTCAGTTCATCAGCTTGTGAGAATGCTGATGAGTGTATGGTTTTGGACAATGAGGCTCTTTATATATCTGCTTTCGTACTCTCAAGCTCACCACTCCCAGTTGTAAGTTCTTCTCTCTTGTATCTTCAAATTCAATCAATTGGTATATGGATAAAGTTTGTTTAAGTTTGCCTTGTGTTTGGCTGCTGAGAACATAGTGTAGATTGAAAACTTGCTCTAATAATGTGTCAATTGTTTGTACTGATTAAAATGGTGAATTCTTTGAGAAATTTTGAGTTTTGTGACACAGCCAGTTTTGTAAATTTGTTTTCAAATACAGATTGAAACATATTATATGTACATAATTTAGGGTTTATTGAAGTGGGTTGAGGCACTTTTGTTTCTTCGATATTTGGGTTGGTCTGGTTCGGTTGTACCTAGACCGTCGGTATTTGTTGAAACATCACTTTCTTTCTCTGCTATTCTGGGTTGATTTTGGCAGGTGTGATATAAATAAATGTTAGCTGTTCACATTGGTCTTATGAATTGTTTAATTATATTAGGCCATCGTCTTTCTACACCTTTGTTTGTTTATAACAGTGGGCTTATTTCACGGCGCATTAAATCTTAAAAGAGATCAATTAAGCAATACTGCCGCAGATCACGGAACATTTACTTCACACCCTGGCCCATCCCCTCCTTTTTTTGGTCAAGTCATCAAAATCAAAGACTAGGACTATGACTGAGGATGTGTAGGCATGAGCACAGAGGATACCAGGTGTCTTGGTGTATTGTTTTTTTCCCCATATTAGGCCATTTAGTGTAACATGTGTTACATAAATGTAATGAATTAATTAAATCAATCTACATGGCATGGTTCATGTGTATCATCTCCTTTAAGAACCTTGTATCTTGTTTCTGAAAAGCAAAATGCCAGTTGTGACATTTCACAATCATATCATTTCTTTTATCTAAGTTACCATTTAATGTTATGCCATTCTCACTCTGTAAAAGACTACAAATACAGCTTCTGTGATTTTATGTTTTGGGAATTTTGTCTATAAAAGGTATGAATGTTTTTAAGAATGGTAGCATTTGAATTTGAGACTAATGGTTTTCTTGTTGATCAGTTGGAGATTTGAACCACTTGATTCTGCCACCATGAGTGGTGTCACTTGTTGCCTTCGGTTTCCTGGTCAGCTCAACTCTGATCTCCGCAAGCTTGCTGTCAACCTCATTCCATTCCCAAGACTCCACTTCTTTATGGTTGGTTTTGCACCACTTACATCTCGTGGGTCTCAGCAATACGTGCCCTTTAGTTCCTGAACTCACCCAGCAGATGTGGGATGCCAGAACATGATGTGTGCTGCAGATCCTCGTCATGGCCGCTACCTCACAGCATCGGCCATGTTTCGTGGCAAAATGAGCACGAAGGAGGTTGATGAGCAAATGATTAATGTACAGAACAAGAACTCATCATATTTTGTTGAGTGGATCCCAAACAATGTTAAGTCCCCTGTTTGTGACATCCCGCCAACGGGTCTGAAGATGGCTTCAACCTTTATTGGAAACTCTTTCAATCAAGAAATGTTCAGGAGGGTCAGTGAGCAATTCACAGCTATGTTCCGTAGGAAGGCTTTTTTGCATTGGTACACTGGAGAGGGAATGGACGAGATGGAGTTCACGGAAGCTGAGAGCAACATGAATGATTTGGTCTCTGAGTACCAGCAGTATCAGGATGCAACTGCTGATGAGGAAGGGGAGTACGAAGAGGAAGAGGGTTATGAGGAGGATGCTTAAAGACAGCACTGCCATCTGAAATAGTGTGTTTGGTAAATGAAATTGTGATTTTGTTGTGTTTGAATTTTCTAGTATGTGGGATTGTTTTGTTTCTATGTTGGATCCCAGTCTTTGGGTCTGCTCTTTGCTTTAGCTTTTGTATTTCACAGTTTGCTGGTTTATTTTGGATTCATGTTATCTTGAAGAGTAGTATATGCTAAAATGCGTCATTATTGGCTGTTTTCTATTTCTGTGTGACAATTATAGAATTTTGCAGCACAGATCAACTGTTGAACTTGTCCTATACTCGCTGGGCTCTAATAGATGCTCTGCAAGCCTTTGCCAATTAGCTACTGTATATATAGCATGCATTTGTAGTTCAATTAGCAACATGCATTCAACAGAGACCTTGAGTTGCCTGTAATTTTGTGCATTTTTTTTAATTATTATCTGGTGGAAAGGGCATTAACCGTTCCTGATAACCCTAGCTTATCTCTCTCTTTTTT